AGTCTGAAGGTAAAGTGGTGGGTGTTTGTGAAGGTCCAGGAAGAGAAACCCTCTTCCACGAACCTAACCGCGAGCCAACAGACTTATCACGGTTGATCCTGACCCCTGTCACCATCTCATAGCCTTTGATTTCTTTGCTGAATTCGTTAATTTCGGCTCTGCTCCACACAATAACCGAAACGTCATCAGCATAGGCGGAGTATCTGGCCGAGGTGGTAGCACCGGGTAAGAAAATTCTACGAAGGACTGGATTCGTCTTCAACTTACGCAAGAAAGGTTCCAGCGCAAGAGGCGTTCGACAAAAGACACAGTCTAGAGTCCCTGGGGTTTAAGCCACTGCGAATCGCTAAGGGAAAAGGCTTCTTCATGTGGGACGTATTGCTACCCACACAAGAAGATTGCGTAAAAGCAACAAGCCGTGATCTAATCCCAAAGGATCTGATACTCCGAACAGAGAATGAAGGCAGGAAGAGGACCAGAGTAGCAATATATGAGGTCCCTCCTCAGCCAGGTGTTCCCTGATAACCTGAGAAGGGACCTCATATATTGCTACTATGGTCCTCTTCCTTATCGGGGAACATCTAGCGGCTTTATTGTCCCAGTACGGGAAAATTCTGGGTGCTTCCTGCGATAGCTTGACTGGGAGGTGGAGTTTTGACCTCATGCTGGACCATAAAGCATTCATCTCCATCCCCAACTGCCTGGATGTTGGGGGCCTTAAGTTGCCGGTCACAGTGACTGGCCGTAAACCAGTTTGTTGGAAGTGTGGAGAGACTGGTCACCTCTCCTCTTCCTGCCCAGAGAAGAAGGCTTCCGGAAGTTAGGCCCCAGTTGACCAAACTTCCTCTCTGACCGCGTCTTTGAAATCTGCCTTGCCTGTAATGGGCATGCCAGCTTCCGGGACCGGAGTAGTTAAACCCCAGGTTGGGCCTACATCTAAGCCCAAAAAGGGGTTGAGGGATGGGAAGAATGAGATGTGTCACAGGGTGTGGAGGGAGTGGCCTTCTTTGTGGAAACGGTCTTGGGCTGACTGCAGGTTGAGGGCTGGAGAGACTGAGTTGAACGTGGGACAGTGGATGTAGAGGGAGGTGCTTTCTTTATGGGGAGGATTTTGTTTTTCGTTGCTGGTCTAATTTATCTTTTAATTTTTGGATTTTTTCCATCTTGACATATCTGGGATCATATTAATTTTGAAGATCTTTCAGGGTCGTTATTGAGGCCGGAGCGTCGCCCTTACTGTTGACAGAGGGAGTGGGACTGTTAATGTCTTTTTTTGTCCCTCTCCCTCCTCCACAACTGCACTTGCAGCAGGAGAAGGCTCCTCGGGAACGACAAATTTTGCATGTACGCTTGTCGACGACAAAGAATGACACTATTCTTTTATCAATCTTCTTTAGTTCAACTGGATCATCCAAGAGCCCACCTTCTACCACAAGGTGTGCGTTACTCTTGGCACGTTCCAAGAATTCCGCGATATTGATGATACATTTTGGCGGAGGCTTCCAACAACAGGGCGAATCTCCAGGTTCAGCGCTATTACTAGTCTTTTCCTTTTGGCCATTCTTCGCCTCCATGTTTTTGTCAGATTTTTGGTTTTTGTGTTGGCCATTATTGGCCTCCATACTTTGAGTTTTTGTCTTTTCTTGGCTATTGGCATCCAAACTTTCGATTTTGCCACCAACATCCTCCTCACTAGAGGAAGAAGATTCTAGGGCTGGGTATTCTTCTAAGTTGTCATTATCTGTAGGGTCTTTCTTAGAATTGAAAAGATGTTTTCTTACTGACTTCCTAAAGTCAGCCACTTTTTATTTCTTTTTTAAATTAAAAATAAAGATACTCTTTTTTCCTTCTTTTCCATTTTTTTTAAAAGTGGAAGTGGGAGGGGTGAAAAAAGAAGAAATAGTTAATAAGTTTCGCCTACAGGCGAGAAAAAAAAAACACAAAGCTCGCCCGAAAGCGAAACAGCAAGTCAAAAAATTCGTACAATCTAACACTTTCGCCCCAGCCCCTCAACCTCCGACGTCATACTCTCTGGGTTGAGGGTTTCTACTCGGTCTTAACTGAAGTTAAGTGAGTGACTGTAGGTCCCCTGAGGATCCGTAGATCATTCGACCGATCTACTGGTTTAATCCTGCTTCCTGCTCACGTTGTGTTTGGTTTGATCTAGAAAGCAGAAGTGATATTCATTCATTCACGGTCGACTGAAGATGTAGACACAGCTGGAGAGTCTGTGCTAAGAAATTTAGAATGCACCAAAAATATATATCTGTAGAAAGTTGGACAAAAAACTATTCAATGGTTGAATTGTTAATGTCTTTTATATAGCAGAAAAGAATAGTAGAGAAAAGAAACGGGTTACAGAAAAGAAAATTATTTGACGTAAATAGAAAAACTCATACACTGGATTTTAGACATAGAGAGAGTGGGTTTTGATTAACTTGTTGTTAAATCGTCTCAGAACGATACGCGACTCTTGCGATGGAGAGATAAAAATTTCTGTGCGCGGCTTAAAGTTTATAGTGGCATTCCTCCTCGGCAGTAGTAACAGTAGTAGTAATCTTCCTGGTAGCGGTACTTATATTAACAGTACATGTTAGCGGGGGTTTTGTTCCAATCTCTGACATCCCTTTCGTACTTCTTCGAGCCTTCAATTCAACTCTGTTCACTTTCAATCTCCGATATCTCTCCACCCAGCTCGACTGCACCCGAAGACAGACGAGCAAAAACCAACCTTTGGTTATTGTAGCTTGTTCGACGTTTCCGTTTCCAGTGGTACTAATAATAGTAGCAGTAGCAGTCTTAGATTGTTGGAGGAGTTATTCGCTTCTTCGTATTTATATCAACAACATATGTTAGCGGGCGTTTGGTTCCAATCTCTGACGTCACTTTCAATCTCCGACCTCTCTCCACCCAGCTCGACTGCTTTCGACGACAGGCGAGCCAACCACTCTTTCGATTTCTGTAGCACCGCGACCCGTAACGGCCGACTGCGGGTGCGCATGCACGTGACAGCACGCAGCGACAACGACGTGCCGATCGATCGCGGCCTCTCCAGTCTGGCCTCTTCCGTCTCGCTCGACCGTCTGCCTCTTCTTCAGCATAACTACGCGTTTATATAGATAAATCCAGTTGATTACACGATTATCACGAGTGCCGTTTTCAACCCGAAATTATGTGAATCTCAAAGTTCTCATAGCCTTAGTAAGCTCTACTCCAAATTTTAACTGATAAAATTTATTTATATCATTTCTATTTTTTAACGACCCAATTCCAAATGGGCTACATCAGATTTCCATCAGTAAACAAAATTGTTCTGATCTAATTTCAGTGTTCAAATCTACTCCAATTTCAATAAAAAAGATATACGTGTGTGTGTGCGTTTTCCAAACTCTCTCCGTTACAACAAGAAATATATGCCAAATGAACAAGGTTCACCGAAAGGCGAAAAAAACAAAAACAAAAAACAAATTTAAAATCAGTCAAAAAGAAAAAGCAAAAAAACAGACGAACGTAAAAAAGATGAGAAACGGAAACAAATGAACAAAGTTCGCCTAAAGGCGAGACAAGTTTAAACGTACAAAAATAAAATAGAGAATAGACGAGAACAAAAAACAAGGTTCGCCTAAAGACGAAACAATAATTTAAACCGAAAAAAAAGGAAAACACAAAACGGAAGGACGTGCAAATGGATTAAATAGATAAGAATAAACAATAAAACGAAACGCTATGCAAAGAAAAAGGAAAACGTTATACAAAAAAAAAACGAAACAATATGTAAAGCTATTCACAAAAACAAGATGGCTGATGCTAAGAACGAGTCAACCCAATAACAAATGAAAACAAAAGAAAAAGTGGACAAATTAGACAATATAAATACAAAAAAAATTAGAAAAAATATGGACACAAACTTTAACACAAAGAAAACGCGGAAAACTTAATGGATATTTAAAAGAAAACAGACAATAAACGAAATAACACGTAACAATTAAACAAAGTGAAAAATAATGTCAGTCGAAAGAAAGAATAATGCGTAGAAAAATAAACAGAAAATCTGGCAGAGATTACAAGATTAAAAAACGGAAAAATAAAATTAAAAAGGGAACTTAAAAGTGAAAGAAAATCAAAAAGAAAATATAATATTAAAAGAATAAGATCAAAATAAAGGAAAAAAGGGGAGGGTAAAAATAAACCAAAAACTTTTGCTAAAACAGTCGTAAGAACGCAAGAAAAGACGATAAAAAATAAATCAAACTTAACTAAAATGTAAATTACAGGTCCAAAAGAAACGTAGGGTGTCAGAAAAAAGTTTCGTGGCAAATCACCAGTCAAGAAAAAGTCAGCCAGTTGAAGTCTCACTGGTGTTGGTCCTCTTTTGTTCTGTTTATATAGGTTGTCATCGAATTAGGAATCTGCGCGAGAAAAATCATTCTCCACATGCAGAGAATCTGATTGGTTTATACTGACCAATCAGTGCCTGAGTTTGGGGGAGACTTCTGGGAGCCAATTCTCCCAAAAGTGCACAAAATTTACTATGTGAAAATATAGCGATTTTAAAATTGTCGTTTCAGATAGCAGCGTTGCTTTCTGTCCAATGAATGAATGCTGTTAAAGATTTGAATTTGTAAGGGTGTATGTGTGTGTGTGTGTTGAAACTTGAATAAAACATGGAATAATAATAATACAACACAAAATGTACTTAAACAAAATGTATTGACACAAGAACGTGTACACAATATTTACAGATAGTTTGGTATATTCTTGGGAAGACCGTTCCTGTGGAATGGGTTAACTTAGTCGCAGTCGGGCAGAGTCTCTGGATTGGATCTCTTCTTCCTCGCCCCGTCTTCCCGGTACCAACCATATTTATATGGTCGGTACTCCACTATGTAAATTAGGTGGATCGCACCACAACAGTGTGCGATAATGATGATCGCTATAATATAAGACGTGTTCGCAGAAGTTAACAAAATTTCGGAAGGTACAGAAGGTAAAAAGAAAACCGGTGTAAAAATTTCGGAAGGTACAGAAGGTAAAAAGAAAACCGGTGTAAAAATTTCGGAAGGTAACAGAAGGTAAAAAGAAAACCGGTGTAAAAATTTCGGAAGGTAACAGAAGGTAAAAAGAAAACCGGTGTAAAAATTTCGGAAGGTACAGAAGGTAAAAAGAAAACCGGTGTAAAAATTTCGGAAGGTACAGAAGGTAAAAAGAAAACCGGTGTAAAAATTTCGGAAGGTAACAGAAGGTAAAAAGAAAACCGGTGTAAAAATTTCGGAAGGTAAAAAGAAAACCGGTGTAAAAATTTCGGAAGGTACAGAAGGTAAAAAGAAAACCGGTGTAAAAATTTCGGAAGGTACAGAAGGTAAAAAGAAAACCGGTGTAAAAATTTCGAAGGTAACAGAAGGTAAAAAGAAAACCGGTGTAAAAATTTCGAAGGTAACAGAAGGTAAAAAGAAAACCGGTGTAAAAATTTCGGAAGGTACAGAAGGTAAAAAGAAAACCGGTGTAAAAATTTCGGAAGGTACAGAAGGTAAAAAGAAAACCGGTATAAAAATTTCGGAAGGTAACAGAAGGTACAAGAAAACAAAAGGTATAAAAATTTCGAAGGTACAAGAGAGTACCAGAAGGTTATAAGGATATCAGAAGGGAAAACTATTTTGATTGCCACCAGTGGAAGACTTGGCTGTTACTTTTGCAAGAAGTAAATGAAGGCAGAAAAAGGAAAAGAAGCAGAACCAAAGTGAAAACCAGTGAAGTGAATCGAACTGTTCAAGAAAAATAACAAAATTGTCCCAGTGAATCTTTCTTGCCAAAGCCCTCTCAGTTTTGTCTTTCAATTAAGTGCATCTTTTTTGAGAGAATGTGTATTTTGAACCTTTTTTTAAAAAAAGAAATTTTTATTTTACCTTCTCAGGTTTTTCCGATTATTGAAAGTTTGTTGAATAATTTATATCGTTTTGTGTGCTATATTTCTATTTTTTTTTAAATTGTTACCTTGTTAACATTAAAAAGCCGAGGGGTGGAGCTAAATCAGATCTTAAAATTGGGGTGGGATTAATAAGATGATAAATTTTTCAGGATTCCTTATTAATATTCTTTATATTTTTTATCTGATCCTTTCCTCATAAAATAAATATACTTAGATCTATTATTTTACTGGCATTTTTAATACGCATATTGTTGATGGAATGACACTGACAGACATTTTTGTACATATAAGGCTTACAGAAAAAGTTAAAATTAAAAAAAGTAAAATGAGGAACGGTGAAATGTTATTATTTATTTTGACAATTAATAGTAGAAATGATTTTAGACAAATGATAAAGCTCAATAACGTTGCCATGAACTGAGACCAAGTAGATAAATTAGATTCGAGAGTGATTGGATGGCAGAACAGTGACAAAGAGGGATGGTAATGAATCAAAACTCAAAAGTCACTTAGAGCAACAAAATACAGGAAGCTGTGGATTTTATTTTTTTAAATCTCAGTTAACGTTTTCTTTGCCCAAGCGGTGTTAAAGATCAATTAAAAAGGGGGATTTATGAAGGGATGTCGATGTTCTTGGTCGAATCATCGTCTGTCTGACCCGGCCCAGTCGCATGAAGTAGTCAGTAAATGTGTTGGTGACATTTAAAATAAAGAAACTAGAGATGCAATTGTAAATGGGGTTTATTGTGATATTTTTATAAATACAACATAAAATAAAATTTTTAAAAAATACGTTGGACTGGAAATAAGTGGTTGAGAGGATAACATTGACGACCGATTATATTTACGAGCTAATCAGCCGTCGAGCAATAACAGCGGAGACAAATTTCGGGGAATAGGGAATAATAGTTTCTGTATTGTGATCGACAGCTGAAAGACGCATCTGCCTTCTAGCGGTAGTGGCATATGCACTTGCTCCCTGGCAGCGGTTTAGGTAATTCACCCTCGCAAATCGACTAATTCATTTTTTTTTTTACACTGACTTAAAAAATTAAATGACTCTTAGAATCATTTTTCTTTTTTTACATAGAAAAATATCCAGCCAATGTTCGACATTACACTTCTATACTTGCCATTAGAGTTACAAAGAAGAGGAAGTTGTGGAAAGCTGTGATCGTCCACTTCCTGAAGGGACATGGAACATAAAAAAGCCAGGTCTTGTTACTTTATTTTGAAAATTCATATTTGAAGGAAAACTAGCAAATTTGGTAAAATCTAAATTATTCATTTCCTGTTATGTGTTGTGTATCTTCATAACGTTGGCGATGTCTCTACACAATTTCTCCTTTGTAGATCTAAGTAATGTTTGTCCCCTTATTATTCATCTCAGTCACTGTTCTGCCATCTTTTTACACAAGCTCATTAGGTGGGTTACTCGCTGTTTCCCTTTGCCTATCTTGCATTCAGTATGCCTTGTTAGTGTCAAATTCTCCAAGCCCTCGTTCCTCATTATGTCGCCCGGAAATTTCAGTTATTTCTTTTTGATTCTATAAATGTCCTTTTTGTTTCTATTTTCCTCAAAACTTCCAAGTTGCTCACATGTTCCGTTCGCGGGATTTTCAGCCTCCATCTGTGGAACAACATCTCTTTTGCTTCAAGTATCCTCTTCATCTGTGAGGAAATTGTCCGCCATTCACAGCTATATACGAGGATTGAGGTTATAACATTTTTACACTCTTTTCTTTGTTTCTGACGAAATTTTCACGTTTCTTAATGCGTCAGCTTTTGGAAAGACACAAGAAGAGTAATTGTTAATGGAAAGAAAACGTTATGCAATGAACAGAAATTTGATTTCCTTTTCATTTACTCTGATAGCGACTGAGTATTTATAAATACAAATCTACGTACATTGTTGAAGTGCTTCTGTGTTAAATCATAAAGTATAAGGTAATGTGCATGCGTTTAGAATCGTCGTTATTACAATATTAGAAATTGAATACAGGAACTCGTCACTGCTCTATCAACAGATTTATCAGGTCATGAAGTTTTCAGAGTTAATTTATCTATTTTCTTTTGTGATCCATGAAATTCAGCTTAAAATTTAAGCACGTTGTTTCTCTTGTCGCGAAAATGCCACATATATTTTCAAAGTGAAAAAAAACGACGTGCTTTTAAGGTGTCGTTCGTTTGCTTGCAAGAAATTATAAATGTCAATAGACAGACACGCGGTCAGCATATGAATCACCTTATGGACAGTGTTAGGTCACGTGATCACTATGTCACCAGTTCATGAAGTGATTCCATAAAATGATAGAATGTGGCACAAAGTTTGTTGAGGGGATTAGTTTTGTCATCTACAGTGACAGGAAAAACTTTGGGGCCACCTTGATTAATTAATTACTTTTGTTCATTTTACTCCCAAATCGGGAGAGATTAACTAGCAGTATGTTTTTGTCGGTATATTTTATTATCTTTGAGGGACAGAAAACAAGTTACTGAATTTTCATTAATGTTCTATCGTGATGGATACAGCATCTTAAGAATAGTGATGCTGAAAAGAGACCGTGCAGAAATAGTGGATTGCTAACGAAAATGTTATTTTTTAGCTCTTTTTAAGCTTAAAAACGATTTATTTTTCAAAAAGTGTTTTTTATTATTACAAAAAAATACAAAACTTCACAGTTATAGAGTTAGTAATTCGGCTCGAATTACTGTCTCAATTCGATGTGGCATTGAATGGCACAAATTCCAGGTTTTCCCATTGGGCATTTTTCCTATTCTTAACAGTAATTCCGAAGATCTTGGAGATTGCGTGGTTTTCGTTGGAGCACTTGTTTGTTCAGTTCTCACTATAATGATTCATTTATATAGAGATCAGGACTTTGCGCTGTCCAATCTTCCAAAAGTTGAACATCTTCATCCACAAGAAACCTTTTGTTGTACGTGATTTGTAGCAAGGAGCACCGTCATTCTGAAACTTTTCTTTATCTTTGTAGTCTTGCAGAATATTAGACATTAGGTTTCTATCAACTTTTATCAGTCGCTTTTGATGCAACCCCATACCATTACATGTCCACCGCCAAATTTTACCATCTTTGCGGTGCATTGTTTCTTTTTCGCAGTTTTTTTTTTCCACATATTCTCATGCATTAAAATGTAAGTCTATTTTGCATTAATCACTAAAAATTACTTTTTGCCACTTTCCAGCATCTCATGTTAGATGTTCTTTTGACCCCTTCAATGTTCTATGCCGATGTCTTTGGGTTAATAATGGGGGGGATGCTGCTATATGTACGTTCAAGTTAATTCTTTTTGGTAATACTCTGCGTGCTGTATAAACTGAAACCCCACTGTTAAGAGTGCATTCACTTCTCAATTTTGGATTGCCTACAGGAAATCTAACAAACGTTCTTTCATCTCTACTGTCTAATTTTTGTGATTTCTTTGCACTTAATACCCACCTCCAATAGTAGCAAATGTCCTTTAGATGGTTTGCACGCTGTTTCTGGAAATTCCCAGCTGTCTAGCTATCTCTTGTTAAGCCCCCTTCCCCTTCAAAATCACAACCTTCATCTTTGCTTCAGCAGAAATTTTAGCCCTGATAAAATGCAAGCTAATATTCAACTGCAATGACTTGCCAAGAAATATTACTCTCATGTTAATAAAATGAAACAATTCCTACTTAGAATTTTTCATATTATCATGACTATCATCTGAGATCTTTCATTAGCTCAATGATTTTACATGACCTTTTTTCAACTTTAAGTTGCTTAAAGTGATGTATCTTCTGTTACACAGCACCTACGAACAACTTATTTTTCAATCCTCAAGACCCATAAACACTGCTGATAAAAGCAAACTGGTAAAAAATATTAACATCTTAATAGAATAAAGATATACTATAATCCTTTTATATGGTTGGTTCAAAACTTTTGAATACCAGTGCATTGACTATCTTACTCACCCATTTCCGTCACCCACGTATACAGAAATGTTCCAAACATCAAAAGCATTTATTCGCTACTCACATTATTTCTCAGCCACTACGATAATTAATTTATCAATGGAACTACTATTGTCTCCCTGTGACAATTGTCAGAGTTAACTCCTCCTTAATTGTCCAAATTGTTCACTAGGGGACGCTCTCCTTACACTATAAATACTGGGCGATTTCTTGCCTCGTTCTCTTCTTCATTCTTCATTTTCAGTGAATACATCTACAATGTAATCTCTCGCAGAAGATTGCGTCTTCTCTTTTTGGGGTGTCGCTATGCATTTCCTTGGGGAGACGCTATGAACATTATACACACATACACGTACGTACGAACATTCATCAAAGTACGAACTCTTTGCGTTCACGCACAAACACAAAGGTTAATGTCTTTGTCCAGTGTAAATTTTGTTGTTTAATACATATACTTGTTTGTATATACATATCGGTCTTGTTCGTTTTCTTTACATTTCTTTATGGTGGATTCAATCTCTGAGTCCGCCATATTCTTGTAGTGGACTGTATTCTATCGGGAGTTACACACGTGACCCTAATTGGACAATACGTAAACCCATTGGTCCTCTACACAATACAGACAATAAAATGATATAAGGGGAACCAGGGTTAGTTAACGTTTTTCACTTTTTTATTTTGTGACATCAAATTAACTCGTTAAAAAGCAAATATGATTAAAAGATAATATGAAAAAGGAGCTTCCTTTGAATGGAGCGTTTAAATCTGAAAATATTAGTTTTATTATATGAATAAGCTATTTTACCAGTGCAAGTAAAATAGACATCAAGGTTACTTGGCCGGTAAATAGAAATAGTATTTTAGAACTAAGAATATATTCGAGATTGTTAGCGTAGTAGGCAGGACTTGAACATGGATTCTGTGCCTGTGATTGTTGTCTTGAGTGTGCGCACCTGAAGTGTATTGGCAATAGAACCATGCCTAAAGGTAAGTTTGGGATTTGCAGAGACTGTTATGTCTGAAGTGCTTAAAATATTCAGAGATATTTATTATTTCTTTTAATAATTGATAATGAATAAGTGATTTTAAATTGTGGTTTAACAATTAAAGGTGAGAATAAATAAACGTCTGTGTTAAATCTGTGTGTTTTTGTTTTTAACATTACCTTCCTTCATAATAATGAAAAATATTTACCGGCAAAATAGCCTGTTCCTTTATAATATTATCATTTAAACATTTGGGGAAAAATTTCATAGCTTCTTACAAATTCCAAAAATGGCCCAACAGATGCCCCTCTCTCCTGAACTGCAACACACATTGTATGATTACAAGTTCTGCCTAAAATCTGCCCAATCGCAATGTGTAATCAATCAAACATTTGGAGAAGTTAAAATTGGTTCAAGAGTTTCCAGCGGGTACAGTTAGATCTCCAAGATCGATTCTCACGCATTGACAATAAGCATTTTTGCGCTTGTTTTGAAGTTGATCCACCCCTGACAGCACCCAAACTGGTTGAGAGTTTTGGTTTAAGCCATTTCGCATCACTTGGAGGAAGTTATATGATATGAGTGAACTCCAAAGAAACTAAAAAAAAAAAAAATACTTGAATTTGGCTAGGGATCTGAAGAAGCGATGAAACATAAATGTAGAACTAATTCTTTTAGCAATGGATGCGCTTGAAACACCACTTACAGAACTGAACATGCACTTAGTTGTCGGGGGGGGGATTGGAATTGAGAACAAGATTGTAGACTTCTGGAAAACTGCCATCATTTATTCTGCAAGAAATCTCTGAAATGTTCTTGAGTTGCGAGAAGTCTTGTTGATACCATGACTCGAAAACAGAATTTTCATTGACTAGGTC